TTTTTTTTTTTGTTTTTTTTTTTTTTTTTTTTTAAATTTTTTTTTTTTTTTTTTTTTTTTATAAACAACTTCTTAAAGTAAGTTGATAAATCAACTATTTGATCTGTTTCAACATTTCAGGTCAAATTGTCAAAGGACTTGCAGAACCTTTCCAGACAATTGACTTCTCTGACTTTAAGGTGACCTTTGACATCAACTGTTTGACATTGCTTAGTGATGTTGAGCAGCCGATGCCCAGGAAACCCTCATACCTGAGGCTTTTGTCCAACATGAGTCAGACAAGCGCAGGAGGAAAAGAGGAGGCAGATGAAAAAAACTCAACAATTATTGGGCAAGTTGTGTCCTGCTTAATGTTAGCCATCTGTCGTATCAGCTGTCGGTCATATTAGCTGTCTGTTCTATCAGCTGTCTGTTGTATCAGCTGTCTGTTATATCATCTTTAGATTAGATATCTTTGTCCTTATGACCTGTAAGTGAAATCTCTCTTAATGTGTCAATTGCAGATTTAATATTTTTAAAACTGTTAATTTTATGTGTCGCCTCTTTTAATTATTTTGTGTGGTCATCTCTTTGCAAGATTATTTTTTGCAAAGAATTTTAAAGATTGCATCATTTAACTACATACTAATTATTATAGATGAAATTTATGTTAAATTTGACGTGAGTCTGATTCTGTCCATAAAAGTTTCTTATAAGCCTTGTTCTGTCGCCAGGTCACCAAAACCATTAGGAGACCCGGTCAGTCATCTACCTCGATTGCAGCATTCTGCTGTTTACGCTGTCAAAGACGAGGTAATACCTTTTCTTAATCTGCGTATCTATCTTGGTTAATGAAGACGTCTGTAGCAGGTCTGTGCCGCATTCAGCACACATTTATTCTTGAGACTTGGGCTTAGCTTTGCTACATTATCTTTTCTTTGCACTCACAGATTGAATCTTTAATGCAAGAGGAAGTTATATCAGCACTGCGGCACATGCACCCCATCAGTGCTGACACCTTAGTGTTTGTCGCCGAGTATATCCGAAATACTGCGCACTTCCTGTCTAGAACCGTCAGGTATCAGCCAGTCAATCTGCAATTTGTGTATGGAGCCGACCAGAGCCTCAACATGTTTATAGAGGTACGGTCAGTTATGTTTTATTGGATGAACTGCAGTTTTATTCATGCATGTATAACTGGCTCATTGTGGCGGGTGTGAAGATGGTGTCAATAGGCTAACAATTATATAGGAGAGTTGTGCTAAACTTATCACCCACTTACTAAGAGAAAGATAAAATTGAATTTTTTATTCTTATTAGTAAATTCATTGCTATAAAGATTGTGTGTATTTACATTTAAATGTTTGAGAGTTACAAATAGGATCTGAACAATAAAGTTGCTGTAGTGAACCCATTTTTAGAACAGCGTTTCCCCAACTTGAAAGTTTGCAGACCTGGTAGACAAGCTTTGGACGGGAGGAAGATTAATCAATAACGGACGGGTAATGTAAGGCTGTCAGAGCATTCCCGGTCCCCTGACCAACATTTGGGGAACTCTGTTTAAGAGTATGCTGCTATTTTTTATCTATTATAGGTTTTTCATTTGAAAGAAAACCTAATCATTGTCAGAATAAAAGCAGTGGAATAATTCTGTCATTGAATTTTTTTACTTTACCTATTATCCTTGTTTAAGCAGCCTCTTTTATGGCGGTCACAACCTGTCAAAGAAGCCGATGACAGTGGCTTTCTGTTTTGTTCGTTTAATCCCGCCAAAAGCAATTAAAAGAACTTGTCAACTTACGCTTTTTGTCTGCCATTTAGGAGTTTGAGCGTCAGAACTTGCCAGGCTACAGGCTCACCAAAGAAGGGGATTTCTATTTCCTTATTGTCAACAAGGCCCACATGAGATACACGCCGTTTGAGATTGTGACGGCGTCACGTGGTGGGCTGGACGGGGAGAGGAAGATGGTCATCTCTAAAGATGAGAGGAGCTTCAGTCTCCCATGTGTGTTTCCCGACCCTCTCGACCGGGTCGACATCACCGCTGGGTCCAGGTCGCTCATTGACATGGTCGAGGACACGACCAGCTCCGAGGCGGGCGAAGGGAAGGTCAGGCCCAGGAGTTGCTCTGACGCTAAGGCGACTCAGAAAGCGAGGTGTCACAGGGGCCACGTGGATATCAAGGCTGTGATGTCGTCGCCTGAGGCCAATAACCAGGGAGGTACTCTTTTACAAGATTTTAAAATCAAAGAGGAGGACAGACAAGTGGAACAAAGGTAAACTGTTCAGACAATTTAAAAAAAAAATTATTATATTATTCTTTTACGCCAATGAAAACTTTTCTGCTCCAATGTTAAGAATACGAGTTTAGACATGGGATGCCAGTAGAGTTAGTGCCCCCTGGGATGGGCCTAGATTTTCGCTGCTTCCTTCCATGAAAAATTAAAATAAAATTACACCCTTCAATGCAAAAGCGCCTCTAATCCCCCCCCCCCCCCCCCCCCCCCCCCCCCCTTGCTTCCTTCCATGAAAAATTAAAATAAAATTACACCCTTCAATGCAAAAGCGCCTCTAATCCCACCCCCTCCCCCTTCCTACACCACTGATGTGCATGGTTTACTTGGTGAGCTTCATTGTCAGTCAACTAATATTCAGGACTTGGAATGCTGACCATTTGTTTCACACCATTTATTCATAAGTATTTGGATTTCTCAGAACTTGACAGCAAATTGTCATCCCCTGTGTCACAGAACTTGTCATACTCTTGAGATCAAATTCTCAACACCTTTGTCACAGAACTTGTCATACTCTTGACATCAAATTGTCAGCCAAAGTGGTTTCCCCCTTTTTTAAAATGTTATCTTAAATAGTCCAATAAATATAGAAAAAGTTGAAATAGCATCAATTTATTTGTGCATCTGATGTCCCACTGTCAACACAGCACTAGATTAAGTAGTGTTCCAAAGGGCAGGCCACACTGTCAACACAGCACTAAGTAGTGTTCCCAAGGGCATGCAACATTTATCATTTCTCTTTCAGTCTGAAGAAGTCAAGTAGTTTTGCTGGACTTCAAGGTCGTTCACCAGGAATTAATGCTTCCTGCGGTTCTAGGAGCCGACACTGTTCAGCACCATCTGGTCACATCAGTGTGGCAAGTCATTCGTCGACCATGCCCCAGTCACCATCTGTCATCTCGTCAAGAGAATCTAGCACAGAGGATGGTCAGTAATGATGCAAATAATTTCATGAAATGTGTATCGTTTCGTACTTGCCTACAGCTAGACACTGACATCTGCCTATGTGCCAGGGACTAAGATTAAAACAAGTCAAAGCTGTGCTAAGTCTTAAGAAATTGTTTGAAAGGGTCATTGAAAGTATTTGATATATTCTGTGGCAGGATTTGATGGGGATGTCAGTGACATGGAGCTGGATGAGTCAGCATCAATGTCTGACATCAGTGGCTGCTACCCAGAACTGCCGGACTTCTGGCTACTCATGCAGATCTATCAGGAGAGAGTCGAGGTGTTTTTCCACTCCAGGTTGGTCAACTTATTGAAGCTCTTGCTTTCATTCTGCTCACATCAAACAAATGTATTCTTTCACTCAAGGAACCTCATATAAAATATCTGTATTTATTGGCGTATAACACACCCCCGCGTATAACAC